GAAAAGAATAAGGAGAAGGTGAGCAGATGAAAAATAATAAATACAAAGAACACCACCCCAACCTGTTGTGGTGCTGCTGCTGCTGCTGCTGCTGCTGCTTGTCAAGGGGACACTGGCAAGCATGAGCGCGCCTTGTAAGCGCAGTCGAAGCATATTGAGGTGTACGTACACCCCAGATATAGCAGCAATACACTCAGTATACAACCAAGAAGACAAGGCCCAAAAGGCTGTCAGTCCCCTCCCCTGCTGCGGCTAAGGCGCAGCACAACAACGTACATTCTTATACCCAGAGCAGCAGCAGCAGCAGCAGCAGCAGCAGTAGCAGCCGCAGCAGCAGCAGCAGCAGCAGCAGCAGCAGCAGCGGCAGTGGGCCTGCACGGCGGGGCTCGCAGCAGGTGGAGGGTGTGTCTCCTTATGCTGCATATTCTTTGAAATAATTGTCTTCTTTTATATTTTTATTTATTTTTTATTTTTATTTTCATTAAAATGCAGCAACAAATGCAAACAACACCAGCCAGCCGCTCCCCCGCTGCTGCTGCTGCTGCTGCTGCTGCTGCTGCTGAGGCAGCAGGCTGTTGTATCCATAAGAATGAATGAAATTGCTGTGTTTTTTATTTATAAATAAAAATCAATGTAATTTTATCTTTTATATTTCTTTTTTTTATTTTCTTTTATATTTAACCCCATAAATATCTCTGTAGTATAACCAGCAGCACACACCGGGGGCTGAGCCGCTCACCTGCGGTGTATGTACAGCTCCTTGAGCTCGTTAGTATATAAAAAAAATTATAATATGCATTAAAACTAAAAATATAAATCTTTATATTTAATATAATACTTTTTAAACACACAAAAAGTACAACAACCCCACCCCTCACACCCCCTTCTGCCCCTCTATATAACATAAGCTGCTGATGGGGGTAGATATGTTTACTATAAATATTATTAATATTTATAAATAAAATATAATATTATAATATATAATATTTATTTATTTATTACTAAATATAATATTTAATAATAAATATTATATTATGGCACCTTTTAATAATAATAAATATTATACATATATATATATATATATATATATATATATATATA